ATACTAAAGCTAAAAGGTGACGCGGTAGGCCAGTTGCCTCTAAAACTACTAAAACTATCTTGTCGAATTCCAATCTGTCCCCTTACATGAATTAAAAAGCTGCTTATTTATATAAAATAAAATATATAGAAAAATATAACTAATATGTCTAATATATCAACTATATCTAATATATCAACTATATCAACTATGTTAATTATGTCAACTATGTCAACTATGTCAACTATGTCAAATATGTCTGACATATCATATATGTCAATTATGTTAAATCAGTCGATCTTCTGCACCACATGAGCTGCGTTACATTTACCTGTTCACAATATATAAAAATTTACTTTATTTAAAATTTCAAATTCTTGACAGCTTTTTACAAACGTATTACAAAGGTTTTCACCGAAGTGGGTTCACAAAGGTCTATAAAATCAAGTAAACTGTCTTGAAGCATCCAATCTTTAGTAATCTAATGCATTGTAATGGCTAAAAATCCATAACTATTTGTAGATGTCCATGCATCTAGAGCAAATGAAATTTTGCCTGGAATATTCTGTTAAAATATAAATACAAATTTATAAAATATATAAGTTTAAAAAAAATATTATTTTCGTGCATATTTAAAAACTTACTTGAAATAAATCTTTTCTTCTTTCTTTCTCTTCTTTATAACATTCCATAATATCCTTTTTTATTGTGTCTGCTGTTGGAACTATTGCATCTGGATTTAATACTTTTATCATATGTCGAAAATACTGATTTTCAGATGTTGTAAATGGCTGATCATCAGCAACTACCCATTTAGTAAGAGAAGTATGAAATCCAGTTTGTGTAAACTACATTTAAGAATAAGAAAATAATTAAAATATTATAGCTTTTTAACATGTGATTGATTACTACTTACTTTAGGTGGAGTTTCTATTTGACCTACAAATCCATCTAAAGTACTTTGACCTTCAGCTATTAAAATTTTAGCTTTTTTGATTTTGGATCTTTATCTGGGTGGTATTTCTCTAAATGACGCCAAAGATTGGTTGTGTTTGAGTCACCAATTTTTCGTAACCAAGTTTTTTTATCTCTAGAGTTTTAAAAAGAATTATGAAATAATATACTAAGTTTCCAATATTAAGTATATATTTTCAATTAAAACTTTCTATTTTAAAAATTATTTACTTACGGACAGTTAAGACACTTAACTTCACGGTGTGTTTTCGCACTTTTATGCTCTGATGGAAGGTCTTTCTCCTCAAAGAGATTATTAATAAAGAGTTCACTACGCAAACTTCTTTGTTTTCCAAGTTGAGATACTGGTTCAATAAGGTCAATAGTTTCAGACATATTTATATTTTTTACATATATAAGTCACAAAGCTAAAATTTAACGCGTAAAAAAAAACTTTTTTATGTGAGAAAAATACGCGACAAACGAAACTAAAATTTAGCATAAAAAAACTTTTTCATTTGGAAAAAATACGCATCATCATAACGTCATCTCAGGTCACCTGGGCCTGACCCGACCCTTTCAGAGCACTAACTGTCATTAAGTTTGTTAGTCACTATGGAAACAAGTAATCTAGTTACCGCTTCACTAGTTATTACAACAATTTTGATAATTACACCGTTTTTTATCACCCCAAAAACAAAGGATTCAAAACGTAAGAAAAAGAATAACCTCAATAAAGAGATTTAGATAAAAACTTATACTTTTGGTCTAATAAATCAAGGCAATAATATCTGTTTTCTTAATTTTGTACTACAAAGTCTGGCATCATTAAAAGGTTTTCGGAAATATCTGAAAAAAAATGTAGAAAGTAATTTATCGGATACCAAACGACCGGTATCGTTTGCTTTGCCTGCGACTTTAGAGAGGCTCAATGAACCTCTAACGAAACAACAGTCATTTATTGCGACTAACGTAGTTTTAGCCCTGCAGGCAAATGCAAGACGTTTAATTAATAGGCAATAACAAGATGCTCATGAGCTATTTCAACTCTTGATTCAATCTTTTGGGGCAGAAGAAGATTATGACAGACGCCCGAAATCTCTTTTGGACTTGGAAATAATTAAAAAATTGGCTTCCAAAGACGAAAAGATCACGCAATTTGTGAGTATACCACTTGCTGGATTTCTTGTATGAAATGCGGATATTGTGGGCCAATTTGGCACATTACATTCGATAATATCTCGATTCCACTGCCTTTAGGACTACTATCTGTCTCTCTAGACGTTCTCCTAAAAAAATATACCTGGACTGATTTTATTGACGAATTTAACTGTCCACATTGCAGTTTGGTTGAAACATTAGCAACTATTGAAAATGCACTCGAGGGCTCAAAGTGGATGCCTAATAACAAAGAAAATGGGTTAAAGCTCGAAGATGACTGACAGGTTATCAAAAAAGCACTTGCAACTGACGTTAATACGAACATAAGTAGTCAATTACAACTAACAAAATTGGCTCACGTTAAAAGCACGGCTAGCAAACATACAATGTTTGCAAAATTGCCTGATGTTTTTGCCATCCACTTTTCTCAATCTATTATTATCAAAGCGGATGGACTTTAAAGAATCCATGCAAAGTCAAATTCTCTGATTCAATTGACATGATGAAGTATATTTTAGGAGGGTATTTGGCTAATATGCCTAGCGAACCAATGTCATCACCACTATCACTAATCTTATCATCTCCAATGTCGTCACCAATTTTAGCGGGTATTAGTGCAAGCAGCCGGAGAAGTGACATTCCATGTGAAGGTGGAAATATTTACACGTTATATCGGTCGTCGTTCATCAAAGTGATCATAGATCTGATCACTTTGTTACTTATCATCGCAAGGAGGATAGTGATATTTGGTGGCGTCTTTCGGATGAATATGTTGAGGAAGTCAAGTTAAAGCAAGTGCTTAACAAAGAAGCGTAAATGTTGTTCTATGAAAAGGCTCAATAATGAACACCTTTGATCATTAAAAATTATACTTATTTTCATTATTAATATGTAATTTAATTTTGTTATAATTTCCATTTCTACATTGCAATAAGTTTTTACTCCTTATGTAAATAAATATATTTATTATGGTTTAGTTAACTCTTGCTTCATATTTAATAACGATGAAATCGAAGGGATTTGTGATTAATGGTAACAAATACTTTTAAACGTGTGAATCAATTTCTTGAGAGAACATTATGAGAAGAAGGTTAATGTAAATAGTGTTATGGAAGATGGTAGATACATATGATATTGGTCCCATCATGCTTAATATACTTTAGGTTGATCGATCATAATGTAGAAATTATCTTTATTCCTTTTATTTATAAAAAAATTATAATTTATTTTTGAATTTTGATTAATAGAGGTTTTTTGACACAAAGATTGTCTATTTAATGAAGTAATATGACAAGAAAAATGCATTTGTATTGTGATAATCTTATGTATTTGAGCAACAAAAAATACCAAAAAAAAAAATAAATAGTAATGATATCATTTTAATATGGTAAATCTTAGATAAGATCACCAAAAATTGTAGATAATCTGGTAATTATGATCTCACATGGTTGGGGGGTACAAAAAAAAAATTTTTTTTTTTTTTATTAAAAGTACCTTTTCTTTCGATATATGAATTTTTTTGTTTTTTTTTACATTTCCTTTTTATTTAAAATGTATCAAGAAATTCTGAACCATATCAATTTTTCTCAAACATCTTTTTGGATTTCTTTTGCTTTCATAACTTTTAATCCACTCTTTTGGAATATTGCTGCGAGAAAAGGTATATATTATTTATTATATATTACCCTTTTTATTAATAAATCAAGTAAACTTAATATTAATTGAACCTTTTAAACAATTGAAGAACATAAAATGAGAGTAATATCTTGTTTCATTGGTGGAAATCCTTATGTTGGTTGTTATTGTTTAGCATTAATGATTTTTTCTCTTGGAATTTTTAGGAATTTCTTATAAGTCATTTATTTTTCTACATACAATTCAAAGATCAACCAACCTTTCTTTCTTTAAATAATGATTATTCAAAAGGATTAGCTTTGGTCTTATTCTTTACTAATAATATTTTTATATCATCATCAATGTACATGTTAAGTGTTATGAGAATCTATCTTAGTATGTATCAATCCTTTATTTGTTTTAATAATGGAGTAAACTAATATTTTTTGATGTGTATATGAAAAATCATTAGGTGATTATTTTGGTATTTTAATGAGTGAACGAGTTACATCTTTTCCTTTTAATGTTCTTGAAAATTTCATGTACTATGGCTCTTCAATGGTATTTTTATCTACTGCTTTATAGTATGCTAGTCCTGTCAGGATGCTTTTGACTATCTGGACTTTAGTACTTTACTTAATTGCACTAAAATATGAAGGGTATATATTTTATGAATTTATTGTATAAATCTATTCTACTTTACTCATTTCAATTTCTTTTTTTAGACCATTCACTTCGATGATTTATGCATAACATGAAGAGAAAGTTAAACAACAAAAAAACGAGTAGTAAGTCGTGACAAAAAAAAAATAAAAAAATTAGATTATATATACATTAATACATTTATTTGGCATAATCTTTTTATTATTATATAGTTGTTCACAATTATTTTATTAAATCAATAATTAAATACAATAAATATAAGCAAAAGGTTTTTATACAATAATTTAATGAATAAAGTACGTGTTTTACGAACATTGCTTAATATACAAAATGATTTTACAAGAACATTAAAGAT